CTCACCTAGGAATAGTGCAGTGCAGATGTATGGTGCTAATATGACAACTAAGAACAAAGTCCTTATGACACAGATCCCAAACATTGTATCATGTCTCATAGCTTCCCTGTGACCACCAGGCTTGTGCTTCTAAAAAGTGTTTAAAAATTATGCTAATTGTGAGTTTCAGTAAAGGTCATCCAATGAATCTTGGACTGTATAAATTCCTCTTCAATAATGTGAGTTTCCTGACACTGCAACTCCTGTAATGGTAATATGAGGTGGCACTTATTAAATGAAGTACCAGTTTGACTCTGAACTCAAAGTACGCATACAGGTATCTCTGAATGATCAGCTATGACCCATCTCAAAAGCCTTCCGTAATTTATCCGGTGTGCCATGCTTAGCTTATCTTGATTACATTTTTTGGCATCGAACATGCTGAGCTCTTCTCTCAGGACAGTATATAAATGATTTGTTCATGCATGACAGGGTAGAAACATTCATCAGAGAATGTGGAAACTGGTAATACTGAGCACAAGGAAGAAAGGGAGTCATTTTTTCTTACTTCAGACTTCACGGGAGAACTGAATAACCAGTCAGGAATGACCAGGAACTCTCATCAGCATCCCAGGAAACTTCAAACCCTTAGGATTCTTTTGCCAGGGAATCACACTTTCATTCAATATGATATTTACTTAGCAGGTGTTTCTAGTGGTGCGATGCTTGTCAGTCTTATGCTATTTAATATTTTATTAATGAATGGAAGAAAACAAAATTATTAATGATAAATGTTGCAGATGGCACAAAGATTGGAGAAAGTAGTAAATAATAAAAAGGACAGGTCAAATACAGAAATATAGAGCTTTCCGGGTTTCTCTGTAATATGCAAGCAAACAATGTGTGTATTTTAAATGGTTAAATAAAGTCATACAACTAAGAACAAAATGTAGGTTTGCAGGATGGGGAGAGGGAGAAACTCTACCATAGGAAACAGTGGTTCTGAAGAGACTCATGGTGGATAATAAATTGAACTTGAGCTCCCAGTGCAAGTTCAGAATCTTGAGAAAGGAGATTTTATTACCTCTGCATTTGGCACTGGTGTGACCACTAATTGAATTTGACCACAATTCAAGGATGATGTTGAAAGAAGAGCCACAAGAATGATTAAAGGAATAGAAATTATGCATTATAGGGAGCAGAGCAGCTTGAATCTATCTAAGGTGAGCTGCTTGAACCTAAGCAAAGAAGGTTAAGGGATTGCTTGATCAGATGTTTACAAGAAATACAAATTTGAGCATAGGGGGTCCTTCATTCCACCCCACAAAGATATAACCAGAAACAGTGGCTGGAAATTGAAGTTTGACAAACTCCAACAAGAAGTAAAATTTTAACAATGAGATTAGCTAGCCGTTGGCAACTTACCAATCACTGTGATAAACATTTCCAGGAAAGGAGAACCTATGTGGGGTTTTGTGTGTGCGCTCACGCTATTGTCTAAACAGGAATTAATTCAGTGAAGTCCTTTGGCCTACAGGCTAGATGATCATAGTAGTGTCATCTGGCTTTATAATTTTAGGGTAGGCCATTGCAAGACAAAATGACAAACCGTCTGTAAGATCACCGTGCAATTCTCTATCTAGATAGGCAGTCAGCAGAATTGGGTTGTTGCTGAAGGAACTCCCAGATTTAGGTTTCAGAGCTCTGATCAATTTCATCATAATTCCTTTCTCTCACAAGTCAGTTTTCTCTTAAATGAAAGTGATGAAAAAAATTACATATACCAGCTGATTATAAGAGACTTACATCTGTTTATTTCCCTATTTTAACCAACCAGGGAACATCTTTCATTTATCAAATTCATGTGAGTGGATTTAAAACACTGTACATCTTATTAAAATTTACTTTTAGAAACATTAAGTAAATATTTAGGATCTCCAAATTTCATCTGCTCATGGCTAAGCTTGAAGACCTGAACAGGAGGAGAAAACATTCTTAGATCATAAAGGGGATCTGAAATGTGCACCCTTTTGAATGGGGACATCCTGGTTTAGTGTTATTTAATACAAAATATTTTTCTTTTAACTTTTTTCATGGAAGACAAACTATGTCCTCTTGGCAAATTTTATAATCACCATCAGTAAAATCAGATGTATGTTGACTTTCACCACAGTTATTGAGTCAATCTACTTCCACAATTAAGGAATGTTCACCTTATTCTTCAAGGTACCTGTTTCAGCTAAATCACTGCCCTCACACCTACCATTCTAAATAGCACTTGACTTTCTGGAGCTTTAACAAGTACATTTGCTTGTTCTTTAGATTGACCCCATTTATTTCCTAAACCTACAGTAAAACCTCCTCCTAATTGCACTCTTTTTAAAAATTTTTAACAGGTTTATATATTATGTTTTCCCCCCCCCCCCCTCCACACACACAAAGGTTTTAATAAGATTGTCAAGAGCTATTTTGATAATTTATGGCTATTAGTCTATAATGTCTCCTAAAATGGTCTATCCGCCTCAAAATCCTGTACATATACACATGGATCTAGCCCAAATGGCTCCAAAAAAGTTAAATGGTGACCTCACCTGTCACTAAACCTGAAAGGCTATGGAGTTGATTACAGTCATGACTGCCACTCACTTACTAGAACAGTAATGAGAGACAGAAATTGCATTAAAGTCACTTGTTAGCATTCTAAATGAGATTACATTCACAAAGCTACCTACAGAAGGTGGTGCATAATTACTACTATTTTAATTTGCCAGTGAGAAAGCAACATAGTACTTCATAATGCTGCTGTTTACTTTCTTAAGGAAAAGGTCTTTCAGGATGACAATAGTACGGACCTTACTAGTGCCCCTAATTTAATAAGCAAAGAAAGATGTAGCTAAAACTAGGTACCAATCAACGGTTTAGAAGAAGGCTAATGAGAAAGGACAGAGTGAGAAATATAATAAAACTAGCAATACAGTTACTGTTTTCTTGTTTGTTCAGTTGCTGACTATAAATGAACAGCATACAAAAGTAAACATTAATAATAAACAAACAACTTATTTTCTATTTTAGAAATTCATTGTCTCCTTCTCATTCCTGTTTTCTTGCGGTTTCATATTACAGATATTACTTTGGCTGCATTCTCTGTAAGTAAAGAGTTTTGGTTTTCCCAGGATATTTAACTACATTTACTTGCAGTTATTTATGCCATAATTCTATTTTTTTAAGCTGGGCATTTTTCCTTCCTCACAGAGTCTGACAGGTCTCATTGGTTTTTATATTACTATTTTCTTCTTCCATATTCTTCCAATTACCTATCTACCATCACTGCCTTAAGATAGTCTTTAAAAAAAACCACATTTTTGTTATCTCTTACACAAACCTTGTGAGTCCATATTTCACAGGTCAGCACCATCCTCTTATTTTCAAGACCAGAAAGGGCTAACAGTGTATTTTAGCATTCCCAGCTCTGAATGTGTGAACACAAGCCGGAATGACCTCCTGTAATCTCATTTTATGTGATTTTTTTAAAAAATCCCTCATATATGAGGTAAAAAGTTTCCATCACCTCTCATAACTTATTTTTGCACTGCACAGGTTCTTAATGTTTTTCACCTACCCCCATATCAAAGCTCCTTTCAGCTCAGTGGTGGGCAATCTGTGGCCAGAGGGCCACATGCAGTCCATCAGGTTATCATGTGTGGCCCACATGACATTTTGTTTACTGTTGCCCATGTGCAGGGTTTCCAGATTCTGCTAGTTTCCATCCATGTCAATTTTTTCGAACCACTATTATTAAAGTGACATTCATGTAAAGCAAGGGCACGTGAAGTGAGGTGAGTGCTGATTACACACAACACTGATGTGAGAACCGTGTACTTCCTCTGCATCTAAAGTGCTTCTGTGGTTCATTTGGCATGCCCTTCCAATTCTAGGCACACAAGCTTAGTTAGTTTATCTCATGAGACCATCTTGGTCACTAAAATCTTGCAGCCACTAAGATGAAGGAGGATCATGTGACCCACTTACTAACCTCGGCTGCCCATCACTGTTTAATTCCACATTGCTGTATGCTACTTGAGAATGTGTCTTGTGTGCAGTAGGTTTTGAATGCAATGGGACAATAAGGAGACATTAAAGCCCATGTTTACCTTAGAGAGAAAACTTCCCACATTTTCCAGACCTGATGTCGTGTGGTATGAAGATCTCATTCTTTGCCCTCCTAACCAGACTCTTCACTATCAACACTTTGACCCTTGCAGCTCCACTTAGAAGGCAGCAAGACACTGAATCTGCCACAGTCTGCTTTCCTGCATGAGCTAGCATAAGTAGCAACACAAATCTGGGATGTTCTGAACTAAAAAAGAGTCAGATCTGAAGGTCCTGCACAAGTAAAATATTTTCTTCCTTTCTTCTTCAAATTCACAATGCACAGAATGAGTATAAAAAATAATGCATAAAACAAGCAGCACCATCAGGGGGCTCAGCCACAAGGAAACGACATCACTGTCAGTGAAGTTCCTTGTCTGAGTTTCCTTGTAGAAATAGAAAGTGAAACAAAGGGTGATAAAGTGGATGATGTGAAAACAGATAGAAGCTATTACTTTCCACCAGCCACTCCTACATACATTCTTTGATCACAACTGGGTCACAGATGTTCTTTTTGTTTAATATGTGTAAATATTCTTTCATGAGTTTAAAGAATTTGAGTGACAGAAAATATATTGCAAATCCAACACAACTTAAGAATGTAGAAACTTGTCTTTCCTTTTTTATGAAATCCTTCCAGCAAAGAAAACAAACTGTCTTGCAATGCAAAGGATGAAGCATGTTCTATGGTACAACATCCATGCTAAAATAGCCAAAAACCAATTTTGAGAAAGATGACAATTAATAAAGCTGAGATATTTTAATAGTGCTTTTCAAAATTGCCATAGCAGTCAGATAACTGACCTACTCAAGACCAAGCATTAATAGATGTGCAAATCTTTTGAAGCTTTTAAATTCTAACATGGTCTTACTTTTGACGGTTGCTGTCCGGGTGCAGTTGTAAAGGATAGCTAGCTCCCCAAATACTTTGCCAGGTCCCATGGTGCACAGCTTCACACCTTCTTTTGTTACTTCAACCTTTCCATCTGTGGGGGAAAAAAATACCATTTAAAGTTACAAGCATCTTTCTCAGCTCAGTTCTTAAAGTGTGTTTTAGGTATAATGTAAATAAGAGCAACAGAACTCTTTGATTTTATGACAAATTCTAAAGTATGTTACAGAAAGGGAACTATATCATAATCCTTGGAAATAATTATTTTATAAATAAAGATTACAAAGAGGCATTGATTATTGAAGTTTCTTAATGGAGACAAAAGCTTAATGGCACACTGGAACAACATATAGCATATTTTATGGAAGACACTTCCAAATGATATTCTTTCAGATGTTTTGTATTAAAAAATAAGGTGATTCAGTTTTATCACACTTGGAAAACACTGAATAATTTTGTTCCCCCCTTTTATTTTAAACAGAAAAACTAATCCTTGTAAACATTCATCCATGAATAAGGCAGCTATTATCAAAAAGAAAATTACGTTGACTCATGGCCATTATATAGTTCACATCTTAGAGTAGCTTTTCTTTTTCTGAGCACCTTATCTTACTCGGGCAAGTCTGCTTTATCTGCTCACCAAGACTACACGTATAGCAGGACTATAAGGGGTATTTAATAGCAAGGGCTGCAGGAAAAGAAAGGAGGTCAATACCAATTTACAGGCTTCAAACAACTTCAGAGAAAAGACTGCCAGAGGAGGAAAATAGAAAGAAAACAGCCTCACCACCTACTATATGCATACTACTTCAGAAATAGTGTTGAAGTATGATTCATCAGGGACAACAAGAAAAGTAAGTATAATACCAATATAGGGGAATGCAAGGTTATTGTGCCCAATGTTTCCATTTATAGTGAGACAAAGGATCACAAGAAATGAAAACAGTATACTATTGAATAATAAAGAAAAAGAAGACCCACACTAACCAAAAACAAAAAAAAATGAAACAGTCATATCCATGCACACATGTCTACTTTAACTATTGATCTCTTTCTGGAATAGAGTTCTATAAATGTAGCTTTCCTACAGTTCTATAGACAAGAAAACCTTTTTATAGAATGTCTACTGGCAATAATTAGTGAAATTTAATATGCATTATGAAAATTCTGGTGCAAGTGGCATGAATGCAGAAAATATCAATTCACTATAGTCACCACACAATATAATTAACATTAAAAAGTTACCTACCTGTAACTGTTCTTCCACAAGAGAGGTGCAGACATGTACTCTACTTAGGTGCATACATGCCTAGCACCACTGCCAAGCAGCACAACTAAAAGTGGCACTCATCCTCAAGATTCATAGCTCTCTCCCTCCTCTCCTCCCCCTCCCCCCCGGCCATGGAAGGGCAGTTCCACCCTGACTTCTTCAGTTTCTTTGCACCAGAGTACTAGTTCTAGGACTGCCAACTTTCTGAGTGCAGAAAGCAGAACACCTTTGCCCCCTATGTCCTGCCCCTCTCTGATACTACACTACTATGCCACCATTCACTGTGACCCCACCGCCTGCTCATTCCATCCTCCCTCCTTCTGTTGCTCACTCTCCCTCACCCTTGCTCATTCACTCATTTGTGTCATGCTGGGTAGAGGACTGGAGTGTGGAGGAGTTAGGGCTCTGGCTAGGGGTGAAGGCTCTGGGTTGGAACCAAAAATGAGGAGTTTGGGAGGAGATTCCAAGCTGGAACAGGCACATAGGGTATAGGAAGGGTACAGGCTCTGGGCTGGGGTTGAGAGGTATGGGCTTTAGTCTGGGACTGTAGGGTTCAGAGTGTGGGAGAGGGCGCAGGCTCTGGGAGGGAGTTTGGATTCAGGGAGGGGAGACTCCAGGCTGGGGCAAGCTGTTGGGATACTCGGCACAGGCTCCAGGCAGCTCCTGGAAGCAGATAGCATTTCCCTCTTACTCCTAGGTGGAAGCACAGCCAGCCAACCAACTACTCTAATGCTATATTAACACTACATTTTATATTTTACTAATTTTACATAATTACTATATATATGAAAAATTTCCCTGGAAGACAAAGTGTTAGGTGAAAAACACTAACCACAGGTGGCGAGAAAGAAACGAGAGAATGACAGTGGTGCTGTCCTTACAGAGAAACTCCTAGGCAACTCCAGCACGTGGGGTGGACTGGCACATAAATCGAACACAGGAATGCATCTATTTGAAGTAGAAGGCAGCAATGTGTTCTTTACAGAATATTTACAGAATCCCAAGATAGCCCTATAAAATACATTTCAGAAGCAGCAGAATGATAATTCCAATATTATGCATATTACTCTATTCTACCAACATATCACATTATGATAAAAAGTATAGAACTCATATAAATATATAGAAAGGAAATGGGATATTAACAAATAATTCAATAGTAAACTTCAACCAAATATTTGCATCATAGAATAAAAATGTGTGTGGAGGGGTTGCTGTTTAATTGGGATGGATAGTATCAACTGAATGAGGTTTATAGTGAGCAATGAAAGGGGAATCTGTTCTTTTTCAGACATAATGTTTGGGTGATTTTTAAAGCTGTACAATTTTTGTACAAAAAAATGCACATTTTGGATGTCAAGTGTGTTAAGTTCCAATGGCATGTAATTTCAACCCTATGTTTTTCAACAAAGGTTTTTATGTGAGAATAAATGCTTTTTTTATTTCTCTTATTTCAAATAATTTCTGTATTACACAGACATTTTCCTAAGCCATGAATGCAGTAATGTTCTCAGCTCATGCCTAATTTAAATCATGAGAGTAATCTCATAGACACCAATGGACCTACTCACTTATTTAAGTATCTTATCAAATTCTTTTGTTTGTTTGATATTTAGAATTCATGTTTGATTGTTCTCAAATAGTAACAGAAAACAAATGAGATATAGTCAGCAGAGCACTTCTGCCAATTTTGACTTTACATGAATTTTTCACTTACATTAAATCATTGGTCTCCATTGTACAACTCATGAGTCAAATGGCCATCTCAAACAAGTATATATTCACACTCCTATGTGCACAGATTTGTGCACTAATCACACTCACTCCTTGAATATCAACTTCTGGTTCACATTAAGAATGTTAAGAAGTGAGTAATTAACTAAGCATGTAGTTGATACCATTACTACATGATTAGTCAATAAGGGAAAGCGCTCCAGATCCAGGAGCTACCGTGTTGCAGCTCTGCAGTTTAAATGTAGCAGGAGCTGGGCGTGGAGACAGCCCAGCTCCTACTACATTTAAACTGCAGAGCTGCAACGGGAGTAGGTCCCAGACCCAGTGTGAGCCAGGACTGAGTTGGGCTTGCTCAGTCCTGGCTTGCACCAAGTCCAGCAGCCCCCATGGACAGGGGCTTCTCTGCGGGATGCAGAGCAGGACCACTGCAAGCAGAGGCTGCATCACCGCAACTTCTCCTGCCCCGCCCCAACTGTGCTGGGGGAATGGGCTTTTAAGCTTGCTCACCCCAGCACCAGCTCCTGCTCCCCTACTCTTGTTGCCTCTTATACAGAGGCAGCTAGGGGAGGAGAAAGCTAGTAGTCAACTTGACTAGTCGCTTACATGCCTAGTTTACATTTGAATACAATAGAGACTGTGTTTAATGAAAACCCAACATACCCTTTGAAAAAAAAAATCAAGAAAAACTGTGCATAAATACACCTATACTTGAAGTGTTTGAGTGTAGGATAGGCTCGTGTAGCTTTTTCTGTGTCTATCACTTGTGCATGAATATTGGCTGCTTGCATATGTGTTTTTATGTGTATAAAATCTTAAACTAGAAATCTGCTAATGCATAATGATAAGATACATGCAGGCAATAGTGCTATAGTTCTGGCTTGCCATGCACTAACATATGTAGACAAGCTCAAAGAAAAATTCAGCTTCCTATCTGAGAAAATGTATAGAAAAATATCACTTGAAAAATTATAGTTTGGGTACAGTTTATTAATCATGGTTTTTACATGTTGTGTGTAGATTATCTTACAAGGAAGATACCAGCATTGAGTGTACATAAGAACATAAGAACAGCCATACTGGGACAGACCAAAGATCCATCTAGCCCAGAATCCTGCCTTTCAACAGTGGCCAGTGCCGGGTGCCCCAAAGGGAATGAACAGAACAGGTAATCATCAAGTGATCCATCCCCTGTCACTCATTCTGAGCATCTGGTACAGAGACACCACCATTCCTGCCCAGACTGACTAATAGCCATTGATGCACTTACCCTCTACAAATTTTTCTAGCTCTTTTTTGAACCCTGTTATAGTCTTTTACTTCACCACATCCTCTGGAAAGACGTTCCATAGGCTGACTGTGCATTTCATGTGTGTATAGCAAACATATTAAAAGATGAATTCTGTTACAGGTATATTTTGTTATAAGAGTCATTTAAATTATAAAAACAAAACAAAACAATTGTTACATATCATTGTTTCTTGACAAAAGAAATTATGTAAAGGTGCAGCAGTCCCAAGGGTTGGCTTGGATTTTAATGAGCTACTGACAGACTCCTGAAAGCAGCTGCTCTCTATATGGAAGTACAAGGAAAAAAAGAGAAAAAAGTAATAAATAACGGCATGGTGCCAGATTATGTATCTATGATTATGCAGAATGAAGGAAAATAAAGATCCAAACCAAGGCCAAGATAGAAAAGCTTACACATGCTGTTCACATTCACCACATATTTTATTTATAGGAAAGCAATGTATTGACAAAAATAGACCTTCCTTGGGATAACTCCTTCATATATTATATAGTAAATACCACAGAGAGCATTATCAACATCAAATCCACACTTTATTTGTCTCAGTCTCTGAGAACAAATTACTATCTGTCTTCCCTTTAGATTACAAAAACAGTTACATCTAATTTCATTTAAGGCAGCTATCAAGCACAGAAGCCAGCCTGCCACTGCAGAGAAGAGTGGTTGAAGAGCTGAGCTTTAGAAGATTAAAATCAATCTGCCCCAAAGAGAAAAAAAACATCTTTTATGTCCCTTTTGTAAACAAGAAGCTTAATACTGGTAGAACTACTCTGGAAAGACTCAT